CTGAGCATAATGTTCTATTTACAAATAAAAATTGATAAATGTATGTTTTGTGTTATTTAGGAGAGAGTGCTGGGAAAATATGGCATAGGTTGGGTGTGCTTGTGTAACTATGGCAGGGGGTGATTTTTGGGATGGGGAACACTCAAAGATTTTTATTGAGGTACATTATTTTTTCAACAGTTTTTGGACTGAGTCGGTTTCTTTTTTTGCTCACAACCTCTCCAGACTTGGAAAACACTCGCTCACAAGGAACAGATGATGCTGGCGAACATAACATTTTTTTTGCAAGATTAAACAGATGAGGGTACACATTTTTATGGTTTTGTACATTGTACAATTGTACATTGTTTAGAGTGGTTATAAAGACTAAAAGGCGCTCAAAACTGTTTCAACCTATCACCTGTCAGAATCGAGACGCGCCGTTCCAGTGAATCACCTGATTGGACCGCAAACCAGTCAGATGATTCATTCAGGCAATGAAGCACTTGCTGCTTCGGACGTCATATGTCACATGATTTTTTTCGCACCAAAGCAAGCTTTGAAGCAGTGGTTCTCTAGGTTTGTAATTCAGGGTTTCGAAGCACGTATCGAAGCTTCAGCGTCACACTGCCATCACTACTATTATTAGTAACACAGCCTACAGATTGCTAGCTAGCTATGCCTTCGTCACGGAAATGCGTACTACCTGGATGCGATCACCGGATCACGTACAAAACAGATCGGTGTCCTTGTTTAAATTTCCGAAAAACGATTACATCAAGAAGAAGTGGATTAATTTTGTGAAGAGCCAACCTTGATGGAGAGCTGAGGATCACCGCCAAAACCCGCCTCTGTAAGTAATCAATACACGGGATAGTTTTATAAACTTTCGTCGGAGATAACTGTCTGGGATTCACTGATAATCCGCTGTTACTGGTGAATGGGGCCGAACTGACTCCCGCCTCAGCCTTCATCCTCCCGTCGCGCGGACAACTGGTGCCATCATCGGCAGTGCGTGCCCACCGTGCGAGCATCCATTTCGGCTGTAGAGTTGAGTGTGGCGAGTCGACGGCAGCTTTCCCGCGAGTGGGCGTGGTTTCAGCGCAGCCAGTGGACACGCCCCCAGCGTTTGAGAGCAGAGATTACTGCTCATTTTTTCAAGTTTTTGATAGCTTATTTTTTGTACTTGCTGGCTTTTTTTATCATTCAAATTTGGCTGGGTGGCTAATAACACATTTTTCTGTGGTGTGACAAACTCAAAACACATACTAAATTTTGACTTTACAGGGACTTTAAAAACAATGCAAATATTGATATTAGTAAAACTCAATGTTTGGCTTTTGCACTTTTTAAAGTACACTTTTACAGTACACATAAATAGCCTGATTTAGGGGTTTATTTAGTTATAATAAACAAAACAAAAATAAAAATTTAATTGTTATCCGATTAATCGAAAAAATAATCGTCCGATTAATCGATTATGAAAATAATCGTTAGTTGCAGCCCTAGTATAAAGAACTTACTTAATAAACCGTAATGTTTTATTACCTTAGAATGAGGCATTTATATCTAAATAGAGCTGGTAAGTCCCGCCCCTTCCGCTTACCCCGCTGGACCTCTAGGTTGAAAAATCGTTAATGCAAGTGAATGAGAGAAAATAATTATTTTCTAATCCCGTTTGAATTTTGCAATGAATGTGAACATATGTTGTCTGTGAATTTTTTATATAATTTTTCGTGTAAAGAATGCTACAATTTAGCGGGTAGAATTTTCATACGGTTAGACTTTGTGTGAGAGCACTTTGTGGACTACAACTCTTCGCTGCTTTCGACGCGTTTGATATACGTCACCACCACTAGCACACGGATCCCGCTAAACATGCCTTTGTTTGAATGGTGACATTTGGGTACAAAACACACAGGCATCTCGATCTAATTCCTTAGATTATCGCACCGTGATTTGTGGAGGGAAAATGTGTTATGCGGTGACGTCACATATGCGACGTGTAGTCTTTCTCGTTATGTCTATTCCACAACTGCTAGCCAAAGAATCATACAATATACTGTCAAACTCGTTACATGAGAAATTATATAAAAAAAAATCACAGACAACATATGTTCACATTCATGGCACAATTCAAACGGGATCAGAAAATAATTATTTTCTCTCATTCACTTGCATTGACGCTTTTTCAACCTAGAGGTCCACTTGGAGTTTTACGGATGGGCGGGACTTACCAGCTCTATAGGCGCGGGAATCCCCTTCTACGAAGGTCGCCATATTGTGACGTCATGTTTCTACAGTAGCCGAACGCGAACAAACAGAGCTACAGACCGCGTTTCGTCACTACCTTGAAAGAGAAGCCGCAGGAAGCTAGAAGAAGCTAGTCATAAACACCGTGAGTAGTGACTTTTCCCTTGTCAGTGGTGTAAATATGTAGTTGGATTGTTTCATGTAACTTAATTCTTCTCCCTCGCTGTGTTATGGCTTTGCTATGTGGGGATATGTGCTGGTTAAGTTCGTGAGACAGCTGATTAGTAGGCTACTCTTGTCATTGACCGTAAAACAGTTACAGGAATCACCAACCCGTCGATCTTGGAAGCATTTTAAGTCGATCGAGTTTCCAAAATCAGAAAAAAAAGCCTCTTGTGTGTGTAGTAAGTGTGTCTAGGGAATGCGGAGGCGCGCGCGCTGTTACAATCACGTCATTTTTGCCGCACGCACCTTTGGGCTCATGCGGACGCGTCGAGTTTAAACAAGGCTTTACGCTTTAACCAGCTCAGCCACAGTAACAGCTCATATTAGCCAGCTAAACTTTTACTACCCTGTTAGAAAAAATATATAGTTGCATAGTTTCATGTGGTTCTTCTCCCTCGCTGTATTATGGGTTTGCTATGTGGGGAGAATGTGCTGGTTACGTTCGTGAGACAATCAGCTGATTACTATTATTATATTATGTATTAAGACCCTTGATCCTCACCTGAAACTTTATCCATGATGTGGTTTATAATGGACTGTGGTACAGAAACTTGGTTCACGCTGGCTATTCTCTGCTGTCTCAGACGACGATGTTTGTCCCATTTTAGCCACCGTAGCTTCTTCGAAAGGGAGGGGTGAGCGGTGGGCTGAGCCCTTAGTGTAAACTCGCAACCGAACCGCTAGATGTCGCTAAAAATCACACACTTTAAAGCTGGAAAAGTCAGGGAATTTTCTGTAGTAATTATTTTTCTTGAATATGCTCTCCTCTGACATGTTTTATTGGTTTGATATTTTTTTAAATAATATAGTTAGTTTGTCTCTCTATTAGTGGAAAAGATCATTTTAGTCGTGACAAAGTATGAAAGAAGGGTCCCTGTGCAATCCAGAGTCAAACCCCCTTCAGGACTTTCCTTATTTATTTATTTTTATGCTGTTTGCAAAGGCCCTAAACAAGTCATCTTATTCTCTGAGTGATCTCTTCCATGAGCTTGTCTGTTTCAAAGCTACACTACTGTTCAAAAGTTTGGGGTCTGTAAAATTATTTTGGAAATGTAATTGATTCCTGTGATGGCAAAGCTGAATTTTCAGCATCATTACTCCAGACTTCAGTGTCACATGATCCATCAGAAATCTTTCTAATATGCTGATTTGGTGCTCAAGAAACGCATCTCATTATTGTCAATGTTGGAAAACAGTGCTGCTTATTTTTGTGCAAACTGATGCTTTTTTTCAGGATTCTTTGATGAATAGAAAGCTCAGGAGAACAGCATTTATTTGGAATAGAAATCTTTAAAAAAAAAAAAAGAAATTGATTTGGAATAGAAAAAAACCCATATATGAATAAAAGTATCAATTTCTTTTAAACAAAGCCTGTTTCCAACTAATACAACAGATTACTTAATTTTAAATATCAGTTAAAATAAGAAATAGAAAATTGTAGGGCTGACTTCTAATAGTCGAGGATTCGACGATTCGATTCGGAGAGGTCTGATTCGACTATGAACCTCATAGTCGAATAGTAGGCAAGTGTTATGAGGGGTGTGACGTTATATAACCGTGAGACCGACGCTTATAGGTGAACACCGTCATTAGAACTCTATAACCGCCAAAACCGTGCTATTAAAATATTTTTTACAAACATTTTTTATCATAGAGAATGTTTAAATACTAATATCATCTTACGAGGGAAACGGAGGCGGAGTTAGTGGTGCGATCGGAGGCTGCTACTGCTGGAGATGATTCGGGAGAGGTCTGTGCACCTTTACCGATCAGAGCGCGCGCTGACACGGAGTAAAGCCTTGTTTATACTCGACGCGTCCGCACGAGCGCGAAGGTGCGGACGGCAAAAAAATGACGCGTTGGGTGCGCAAGCCCGGCAAGACCCCATTTCGCTTGGCTGTGTGCACAGCTTTTTTTGTAACAGCGCGCGCGACGCCGCATCCGAGGATGAACGACTTCAAGCTGAATCTGCCCGAGCATGTAGGCTATACGTCTCACCGCACCGGCACGCAGTTTGCGCGTCTAAATTGCAAAGTTCATTGCAAAGTTTTGTTGTTAAGGTTTTATTTACTGTGTGTGATTTATTTAAAACAAAGCACGTTCATTGCAACGTTTTTTTTTGTGTGTTAAGGATTCATTTAATGGAAAGCACATTCACTTCTAGTTGTCTTGCTGTTCATTTTAAATAAACTTAGAGCGAGTTGTCCTATAACAGACGAACAGTTATTCAACCGAACGTCTAGCTGCTATCTAAAAAAAAAAAAAAAAAAGGCTCGACTATCAGTCGACTATGGCAAAATCTAACGAATCAGATTCGACTATGGAAATCCTTAGTCGAAAACAGCCCTAGAAAATTGTGAGAAATGGTTGCTTTGAGACAAATTGACAATTATAAGTATGACTAAGCATAAAAAAAAAAAAAAAAAAAAAAAAAAAACATTTTTTAAACTAAAGTGAAAAGAAGCTTCCATAATTTTTACTAAACACATAAAATCATACATGTATCCACTTTTTTATCCACTTTTTTTGAGATGCATAATTGTAGGTTCAGCTGTCATTTATTGTAACTTCATAGATGGCCAACAGGTGGAGCACCTTCCATTCAATATTGGGGCTGCTGGACTCATTTCATGTATAATCTCTCAAGTCGAATACATTTCTTGCTACACATCATGTTGTCGGTTCTCTCTCTTCTCTTTCTCTCTCATTTGGGCTCACTTCCTTGCAGTGGCCTTGTAGATCCTTACCTCCTCTTGTGGGATCTCTTCCAGCAATGTAACGTTAAAAACATTTTTGAAGTTTTCAATGAAACGCAGGTCAGATTGGAATCTCACCTGTTGGAAATGAAACATCAAGAGCCAACAGGTCTTATAAAAGAGACTACATCAGACCCTTATAAATTTAACATGTTAGCTAAAATGAATGGCTAAATGAAAAACATACAGAGCCTGACCTTATTTGCCAACAGTACGGTGGTTCCTGGCTCGCAGAAGTACTGCATGGTGATCAGTAGATCTTCCAGAAAGTTGTGATGATAAACCACGTCTGTACACAGCACATAGTTGTAATGGTAGACAGAGCTGGGAAAGTTTCGTTTCACATCCTGACCCCAGGTCAGAGCCGCCACCTGAGGTGTGTACCTGCAGCGGCCCCGTGTGTTGCGCGAAAGGTTAAAGTTCAGATTTGGCAAGACATCGGGCAGATCTGTGGCTGTGACCCAGGCACCTTGATGTAAAACATTTTTTTAAAGAATTTAGTACATGGGAATAAATACGGTAGTCAAATAAGTAATTTAAAGTCAAATCAATTTGACCTTTCAACTTAAACAAAAAACAAAAAAATTGTAGGCTAGTTTACGTAGGCCTACCTAGAAAACTTGCCACTATGGACACCAGTCCTGTTCCCGCTCCAAGTTCCAGCACTGCTTTATCCAGCAGATCAACCTGTTCCTGGTTCTTCTCCAAATACCGACAGAGAGCCACAGCCTATGTGCACACACACAATCTGAGCAAATGCCTATGCCATAAAACTCATAAGGGCTTTTAACACTTGAAACAGTTATGAATAGGTCATTCTCAACCCTGGGTTATCTTGCTGGTATTTTGCATGGTACATTTCTAAACCCTGGGTTAAAGTCGGCATGAAACCGAAGTTGCAATCGTCTTTTCTTCCCTATTGTGATGTGTAGGCCTATTCAAGTGAAATGGCTTCTCAAACCAAACAATATATGGTGAGACATGATTTTGTCCATCAGGCAATCTCATTTGAGTGACAGGTTGTAGCCTATAAATTTTTTTTAAATAATGATGTGCACATAAATACTGCCATATTTCATAAAAAAGGAATGGTCAATTTTATAGTGACATTAAAGTTATTATTTGCATTTGCGGTGTCAGTGTCATTTATTGGATGAAAGCAGCACACAACTTGTTTACTATAGCATTACACATCCTCATATTATAGGCCTATTTTGCTGACTGCACTATCTAGTTTTACCTGAATGGACAAAAGTAAGAGTGAAACGGTCTTTTTTTGGGTGTGCCATGAATTTAAAACATGGCTGAGGCCTAAGGGGAGAACGATTGCTGCCATTTGATGCATAATTAATGTTTTACAATTAATTTATACAGTGAAATGTATATTTGACTGAATATTCAGAATGGTCTGCAAGCTGATAGCGTACTAGTGAATGGTTGTCAATGAATAGGACGCTACATTTTATTCAAAACGCAATATCTTCAGTGCATTTAGGCTTTAATATGATTTCCCCAAGAAGTAGGCAAGAATAAACATGATATCCTCCATGATTCCTATTCTTTTCGACAACAAAGCAATTGAATGCAACAAGCTCGTAATTACAACTTCCGAAGTGGGAAATAGACATTTTCCTATAGAACGTGAAGGCAGCATAAGCATCTACTTTTAACATTCTAAAGGTGTGCTCATATCATGTAGGAATTATCGTAAATTACGAGATTCCGACTTGTAAAAAGCATTCACGGCCTCATAGAACTCGTAATTACAATTTATAAGCTCAGAATTTTCTAAGAGCTCCGACTTGTTCCACGTGACCGCTGTACCACCTGACCACTGCATATTCATTTGGCATTTGAAAGTGTTCCCATAGAAATGCATAATTTCAAGTCTGACTGAGAATAGGCTTGTTTGAGATGCGCCTTGCCTCGCCTAAAATTTAGGTGAGAGGAGGAGCGAAAAAAGTGCAGGCAAGCCGGACAGTTCTCTCTTCTCGCAGTGGATCAGACACCTGTGAGATCAAAGGCATCGCGGGATTCACACTCGTGCGCAGTGTTGCCAATAAACTGGATGTAATTTAAGTTCTGTTGCTTTTTTTTATATGAAAATAAATATAATGAACGAGACACCCAAAGTAGCCTACTTGTTATTTAATTACATTCCAAATAGGCCAACGTGTTTATCAATAATCTTTTTCTTTAATACAGACATGTGTTTTTATATACAGGTCCTTCTCAAAAAATTAGCATATTGTGATAAAGTTCATTATTTTCCATAATGTAATGATAAAAATTAAACTTTCACATATTTTAGATTCATTGGACACCAACTGAAATATTTCAGGTCTTTTATTGTTTTAATACTGATGGTTTTGGCATACAGCTCATGAAAACCCAAAATTCCTGTCTCAAAAAATTAGCATATCATGAAAAGGGTCTCTAAACGAGCTATTAACCTAATCATCTGAATCAACTAAATAACTCAAAACACCTGCAAAAGATTCCTGAGGCTTTTAAAAACTCCCAGCCTGTTTCATTACTCAAAACCGCAATCATGGGTAAGACTGCCGACCTGACTGCTGTCCAGAAGGCCATCATTGACACCCTCAAGCAAGAGGGTAAGACAGAAAGAAATTTCTGAACAAATAGGCTGTTTCCAGAGTGCTGTATCAAGACACCTCAGTGGGAAGTCTGTGGGAAGGAAAAAGTGTGGCAAAAAACGCTGCACAACGAGAAGAGGTGACCGGACCCTGAGGAAGATTGTGGAGAAGGACCGATTCCAGACCTTGGGGGACCTGCGGAAGCAGTGGACTGAGTCTGGAGTAGAAACATCCAGAGCCACCGTGCACAGGCGTGTGCAGGAAATGGGCTACAGGTGCCGCATTCCCCAGGTCAAGCCACTTTTGAACCAGAAACAGCGGCAGAAGCGCCTGACCTGGGCTACAGAGAAGCAGCACTGGACTGTTGCTCAGTTTTGCATGTCATTCGGAAATCAAGGTGCCAGAGTCTGGAGGAAGACTGGTGAGAAGGAAATGCCAAAATGCCTGAAGTCCAGTGTCAAGTACCCACAGTCAGTGATGGTCTGGGGTGCCATGTCAGCTGCTGGTGTTGGTCCACTGTGTTTTATCAAGGGCAGGGTCAATGCAGCTAGCTATCAGGAGATTTTGGAGGACTTCATGCTTCCATCTGCTGAAAAGCTTTATGAAGATGAAGATTTCATTTTTCAGCACGACCTGGCACCTGCTCACAGTGCCAAAACCACTGGTAAATGGTTTACTGACCATGGTATTACTGTGCTCAATTGGCCTGCCAACTCTCCTGACCTGAACCCCATAGAGAATCTGTGGGATATTGTGAAGAGAAAGTTGAGAGACGCAAGACCCAACACTCTGGATGAGCTTAAGGCCGCTATCGAAGCATCCTGGGCCTCCATAACACCTCAGCAGTGCCACAGGCTGATTGCCTCCATGCCACGCCGCATTGAAGCAGTCATTTCTGCAAAAGGATTCCCGACCAAGTATTGACTATTGAGTGCATAACTGAACATAATTATTTGAAGGTTGACTTTTTTTTGTTTGTATTAAAAACACTTCTTTTATTGGTCGGATGAAATATGCTATTTTTTTGAGACAGGAATTTTGGGTTTTCATGAGCTGTATGCCAAAATCATCAGTATTAAAACAATAAAAGACCTGAAATATTTCAGTTGGTGTGCAATGAATCTAAAATATATGAAAGTTTAATTTTTATCACTACATTATGGAAAATAATGAACTTTATCACAATATGCTAATTTTTTGAGAATGACCTATATATGTATTTTTATGTAGGCTACTAAATTTTTTATATTTTTTAGTATACTCTCGCATACATTTCAGGCGAGGCAATTGGGCGCATCTCAAACAAGCCGTGTTTACGAGTTGAAAGGTCGCCTCCACTAAGTCGTAAGTAGCCTACGTGGTTTTTCTTTTAGCCCCAATCTTTATGAGGGGGCATCGGGCAACGTGGCGGAATACCACAATATTTGGTATTTAGCAGTGACCTGTCAAGCTTTTTTTTATTTACAACAAAATAAGCTAATTCCCTGCACAAAATACAATAGCATTGCAATATAACAATATATGTAATGATAAAGTTTACTGCGCCTTCATAAATTAATTAAAAACATTAAAAACCACAACACTCCTCATTGGTTTTCATTTAAAAGTATAGAGAGAGTTAAAAACTCAAGTTAATTAATTAATTAATCACACCGCCATCTTGCATGAATTGAATGCACCTGTCCTGACGTCGAAAATACGACTTCCCAACTTGTATAGACCTTATGCACCAGAGAAACGCCGACATCTTTAGAATATTGTCTTTGAACTTCCGTTTTTGCGGTCGCTCTGTATATTTCTATGGCATCGCTGTCCAGGAGTAATTAGCTGGTGAAGTGGATTTACTTATTGTAGAGTTAACAAAAGTTATCATGAGCATTGTAATGTTTATCATAAGCATTGTAAAGCATAGGCTATGTCTTAACAAATGTCGACCGGAATTTTTTTTACGAGCAGTTCATTCATACCTATGCAAGATCGCTGTGAAAATACAGACCGGAACGAGCGCAGCGCTGAAAAGGGGCGGGGCTACATAAGGTCTATAGCAGCTACGAACTTCCCAGAAGGACTTCAACGCACCAAAAGAAATGAATTCCCAGTCCGTCGAGAAGTCGAGGACGACAGGATGTGAACCGCTCCGATATAACGTCACTTGTTGTGGCAACGCAGCATAACACCGCATCGTTTCACACTGAACAAGTTTGTCACCTCAAAATGCTGGGTTAAAAGTTTCTGCAGGGCTTAAAAGCGGTGTTTAGAATGGCGATAAAAAGGGCAGTATCTTGGTATAAAAACAAGCCAATGGGTTACTGTCGTAACCCCGGTTCTCTGAAACATCGAGTGGAGAGATCCACCTATGGGAAGGGCATCCGTACCTGACCTCTGCAGAAGCATCCAATTGCACCAAGTCTGGCTAACAGACAGAAGCGTGCAGCCAATGCCAGGTGAGGCCACACCCCCTTACCTACGGGGATATCACAGCTGGGCGCGCTGCTATTCCTCAGTAAGTATATTCGCTTCTCGTGCGGCAAGCGGGGCAAAGCTGGTGGATCTCTCCACTTGATGTTTCAGAGAACCGGGGTTACGACAGTAACCTATTGTTCTCTTTCGTCATCTCGTTTCGAGATCCACCTATGGGAGAGACATGGACAGCTCCCCGATTGCCCAATACACTCACAGTGAGGTTCTGAAGGCCAGAGAAGGACGGTCACCTCAGAGAGGCGGTGCCTGACACGTCCCACAAACATGACCCTGCAAGTTCTCCGCCACGCTAACTGCTGTGGACAAGCAGGGCATGAAACATGCATGAGACACATACATGATAATGGCCCCCGCACCACCAATGCACATAGCTAAACCCAAGAAGGAATGCGAATGCTTGGTGACAGGAATGAACATGGCCAGCTGGCCCATTCACTCCTCGTTGGTTAACCAAACGGGGCTGTGGGAAAGGGCTAAGAGGACCCTACCCCTAGGACCGAGTGTGCCACCGAAGTTCTGGTGACATCCAACCGGTAGTAACGCTCAAAGGTATGAGGAGAGGCCCAGCTGGCCGCGGAGCAGATGTCCTGCAGTGGCACTCCCCTGAACAAAGCCCAAGAGGCGGCTAAGCCCCTTGTGGAATGAGCTCTGATGCCCCTTGGGGCTGCACTCCCTTTGCTTCCTAAGCCATAGTATAGCGTCCACAAGCCAATGTGAGAGGCATTGCTTTGAAATGGGACTCCCCTTGTGCAGGGGAGCCCTTGAAACAAAGAGCTGGTCGCTCTTGCGGAAAGCACTGGTCCTGGTCATTATGCTTGCAGAGCACGGACGGGACACAGAGCATTCAGCCCCTGATCCTCCGGGGAGGCAAAGGGTGGAGGGTGAAAAGCGGATAGCTCCAAAACCTCCGACGTGAACGCAGGGAAGCATTTCGGCATGAAGGCCGGGTTAGGCTTAAGGAAAACCTTATCTCCACTTAGGGAGAATTTGGCGCACGAGGGGTGAACCGAGAGTGCATGTAGCTCACTGACCCGTTTAGCAGATGCCAAGGCCGAGAGCAAAGCTGTCTTGAGGGACAGCAGCTTAAGGGAAATACTCCCCAGAGGCTCAAAAGGATACAGAGACCGTGCTTCCAGCACCATGGAGAGGTCCCACTCTGGGACAGATTCAACAGATCTCCTGATGACCAGCAAAGAGCGGCGTGCACCCTCCATAAATCTGCGGGTTAGAGGGTGCTGCCTGACGGTGGAGCCCCAAAACCCACATGACAGGCTGAAATCGCAGCCAGGTAGACCTTAATAGTGGAAAAGGACCTGCCTCTTTCCATGAGGTCTTGCAGGAAACACAAAATATCAGGCACCGAGCACTGATAAGATGTGAAACCACGCCCATCATACCACCCTTCGAACACTTGCCACTTACAGCCATATAGGGATCGCGTGGAAACGGCCCTAGCCTTCACACGCGGCGGGAGCCCCAGTGCATTTTGGTTCGTCCTCTCACGGGCCAGGCCCAGAGAGCCACCCTGTCCGGGTGGGGGTGGTAAATCTCCCCGTTGGCTTGGGACAGTATGTCCGTGCGAGGGGGGAGGCGCCATGGCTCGGCGTATAACAGAGGGATTATCTCTGCCAGCCATGGGGCTTTGGGCCACCTGGGTGCTATCAGAATGAGAGACAGGCCGTGCTCTCTCACCCTGGCCAGTGTGAAAATTATCAGGCACAGGGGAGGAAAAGCATACAACAGCACTTTGGGCCATGGGTGGGCCAGTGCGTCTGCCCCGAGGGGCGCGTCCATGTCCTTTAGCGAGAAGAACATAGGACAATGGTGAGTTTCGCGCGAGGCGAAAAGATCTACGGCTGCCTGTCCAATCTCATCCATAACCTCTCCACTATCTGCGGGTGAAGACGCCAATCCCCGTGGATTGGGTTTCCCCTCGATAGCAGATCCGCGCCTCTGTTCCGAATGCCCGGGACATGAGTCACGCGTAATGACAGAAAAACCTGTCTGCTCCACACCAAAAGCCTGTAAGCTAGAGCGTGGAGTTTCGACGAGCGCATGCCACCCTGACGGTTGATATAAGCCACTACCGTGGTATTATCGCACCGTACTAGAACAGGATGTCCCTGCAGGCAAGGCAGAAAATGATTCAGAGCTTTCCAAATAGTAAAAGCTCTAAATAGTTAATGTGCGCTGAACGTAGTCTGCTCAGCCACAGACCGTTCACCGTTCTGCCTTCCTGGGTGGTTCCCCAGCCTGTTAAGGACGCATCTGTCGTCAAAACTTTTCGCATCGTACCGTCCCGAGGGGGGGTTCCCCGTGCGTAAAAGTTCTCGCTCTCCCAATGGCGCAAGGCCGCCGAGCAGGCACGCGTCATCGTTACCGAGCGGCAGAGATCGCAAATCGGGCTGAAATGAAGTGTACAAAACCCATTTCGTGAACGTTCTCATTCTCAGGAGACCAATGGCACAACTTGGATAGATGAAGCCATGAGATCCTGCAGCCTGAGGCATGTGCGATATTGTACTCTCGCCCCTTCACTGAACTGAGACAGACAGTCCATCAGCGAGCGAACGCGCTCTTGAGAGAGACGCGCTCGCATGGAGACTGAGTTCAATTCCAAGCCCAGGAAAATGACATTCTGACTGGGAGTCAGATTGTTTTCGCTCGCATTCACCTTGAACCCGAGGGATGTGATGTGCGCGAGCACCCGGCCGGTGTCCAGCGACACCATCTCCTTTGATTTGGCTATGATGAGCCAGTAAGTCAGAATTCTCAGCCCTGATAGTCTCAGGGGCGCCACGCCCACCTCCGCACACAGACAGAAAGTTCGGGGACTCAAATTGCGCCCGAACGGAAGAACTGTGAATTCGTAACAAACGCCTTGGTAGGCGAAACGAAGATATTTCCTGTGTGGAGGGTAGATGCTTATGTGAAAGAAAGCATCTTTCAGATCGACTGATGTGAACCAGTCGTTCTGCTTTATGGCACAGGCGAGAGAGGCTTGTGTCACATTCTGAAATTGAATTTCCTCAAATGTTTGTTCAACACTCGAAGGTCCAATATAGGGCGGGGGGGCGCCACGCCTTTTGGAACATGAAAATACCAGGAATAAAAACCATGGTTTATCAGATTGGGTGGCACCATCTGAATCGCTCCCTTGTTAGGAGGGAGGAAATTTCCTCTTTCAGAATGTGTGAGGCGTTTTCTTCTGTGTGAGAAGAGAGAACGCCGTTGAAATGCGGAGGTTTTATTGCAAACTGCAGCTTGTAACCCTGGGTTACAGTACGCAAAAACCCACTCGGGCGCTGAAACGGCTTGCCAAGCCGCTTTGTGACTCGCGAGCGCCCCCGCTCGGGCCGGAGCGGAGCTGTATGGGCCCAGCTGGTTCATTTGTGATGCAAAGGCGCCATCTAGTGGGAACACTAGAGGCGACATGCAGAGGTTTGGAGGGATTTCATCTCTCTGCAGTGAGAAGTTTTCTTTGCGGAGAGAGGTCTTCTCTCCAAAACGAATTCATTTGATTCGTAGCTTTGTGTGTTTTGTGTTGGGCAAACACTGGGGCCGAAGCCTTTATTGACAGAGTGAGGGAAACATAGTGTGGTGTCCACTGTGCTGAACTTTCCTTCACAAGGTGCCCCCAAAAGTGGGAAAAACACATATCTCCTGAACACATGAACTGGGCAGTCTCAAGTGCAGGCAGAAAAATAATATCCGCGGAGAGAGATACTCTCTCTGTAACGGATTTATTTAATGCGTTTTTTTTTTTTTTTTTTTTAAGTGTTATTTAGTTATGTGTGTGTTTTGTGTTGGGGAACACAGGGGCCTTACACACACAACGTCCACTAAAAACACATCGGCTGGACAGCCGCAACTGAGCTGTGTGAGCCCAGTTGGTTGATTTATGAGGCAATGACGACCTCTTGTGGACGGACTCAGGGCGACATGCATGGGATCAGAGAGATTTGCTCTCTATGTTGCCGCTGGCAGATATATAAATCTGCACGAATTCATTTGATTCGTTTATTAAATGTGTTGTTTAGTAATGTGTGTGTTTTGTGTTGGGAAACACTGGGGCCGAAGCCTTTAATAACTGGGTGAGGGGAACCAAGTGCGTGCGGTGTGGTAACACTGCTATGTACTTTTCCTCACGACAGCCCCCTCCCCCGTAACTTGTTGTTGTGGGGGGGAGGGGGACACACACACACAACGTCCACTAACATACGGGCTGGGCAGCCACGAGAGGGGATTAACCGACCGTAGGTGGGAGACCCTGTTAGTTAACGTTACTCCCAATGGTCGAACAACAGGCAGGCCGCTTGCGTTCGGGACCGCCTTCCTAGGAAGGCATAAATTGAAAACCTCAACACGTAATCGTAACAAATCAAGGCCCGTGAGACCGTGTTAACAGTCTAGCGGGAGGCTCCAGCCGTTCAGACTGGGCGGTGGTCCCAGCGTTTACCCGTCGTACATATTCCTATCCTGGTCGGTGGCGCTCTGTGGAGCTGGCCACACAATGTTGAGACGAACGGCCGCTCGCTCACAAACTTCCAGGAGGATGGACGGAGGCAAAGCCGCGTGAACGCTAGCCTAGGGAACGCTAAAAGGACCGCGTCATCCCCGTCGCCGGAACCGACCGGTTCGTCAACGAGAGTGAGGTTTTCCCACGAAGATGTCCTCTTCAGGGAATGCGGATTGGGCTGATGTCAGCTCAAATATTTTAGAGAGGTGGCGCTCCGGGAGTCCCCCGGTAGCGCGTCATCATCACCGTGTCTCTCCTCCGAGTCAGAAAGGCCGAGCACGGCGCGCTGTGTCGTGCAACTAAAAGCCGGCTTAGTAAAAGCTACATGGGCAGCAATTACAATGACCGCAATTCCCCGGGTTCTCCAAAGCTTGAGCGTGTTAAGCCCAAGCAGACCGCGCAGAACGAGAGGGTCCTTATAGCGGCGATGAGAGCACCACACGCGGCCGGGCAGGCTCGTCGTGATAGGCTGTTCCCCGGGGGAAGCGGCTGTTTAGACGGTCACATAGCCATGGGTGGGCCAGCGGTGAAGAACTCGGAAAAATCCGTGGCGGGCAGCCATGTAAAGGAGGAGCAGGTGAAGGACAGCGAGAGCTCGGGCGGCTCCGGATGCAAAAAACACAGCGGATAGGCTGAAGAAACGACTGTCACTCACGTCTGGCGGAGGCTGATCTGGCAATATGTCCTCCTGAAGACTCGAAAGTGAGCAGCGTAACGTTAATCCAACCGAACTGTGTCAATGCAGAGATCGCGAGAAGCGAATGTCAACTGAGGAATAGCAGCGCGCCCAGCTGTGATATGCCCGTAGGTAAGGGGGTGTGGCCTCACCTGGCATTGGCTGCGCGCTTCTGTCTGTTAGCCAGACTTGGTGCAATTGGATGCTTCTGCAGAGGTCAGGTACGGATGCCCTTCCCATAGGTGGATCTCGAAACGAGATGATGAAAGAGAACCTGATAATGTCCGTTCTTACGCCTGGCCAGATGACGGCGCCAAAAGAGTCGAGCGATTCTCGGATGCTGATCTCCTGCCCGGTGAAGGAAAAGGTCTCGTTGCCAAGGGAGTAGAAGACACTGGGCTCCCAGCCATTGCGCCTGTTCAGTGCCTCCTTCTGCATGTCTTTGCCCTCCAGATCCTCTGAAAAGAGCACCAGTAAAATGTGTCAGTGCAATCGTTCATTTGTGTGATCTAATTTGTACGTTTTTGTACAATTTGCAAATGCCCCACTGACGTTTAGGTTCATGTTTACGTTTTTTATTTTTTTTTTATTGGACATTTCTGTGAGAATCACATATCAGACGAATTCCTACGAAATCACCAAATTGTAAAATAGTTAGGCTACGTTTTCTCATGAGATCGGGTTACAAGTAGCCTATTTGCGGTGAAGTCGAGTTTTAAGTGTTTTGTCATGAGTGCAAGACAAGTCTCAGATCTACAAATCCTGTTGGGTAGTAAGATTGTTGTTGTTATTTTTATCTAAAAAATGCATTACATAATGCATTTTTATTCACTGATTTTTGGATCCCACTGTCATATTTCTCACATATCTCAATTAGGGCTGTTTTCGACTAAGGATTTTCATAGTCAAATCTGATTCGTTAGATTTGGCCGTAGTCGACTGATAGTCGAACCTTTTTTTTTTTTTTTTTTAGATAGCAGCTATACGTTCGGTTGAATAACTGTTCGTCTGTTATAGGACAACTCGCTCTACGTTTATTTAAAATGAACAGCAAGACATCTAGAAGTGAATGTGCTTTCCATTAAATGAATGCTTAACACAAAAAAAACTTTGCAATGAACTTTGCAATTTAGACGCGCAAACTGTGTGCCGGTGCGGTGAGACGTAGCCTACATGCTCGGGCAGATTCGGCTTGAAGTCGTTCATCCTCGGATGCGGCGTCGCGCGCTGTTACAAAAAAAGCTGTGCACACAGCCAAGCGAAATGGGGTCTTGCGCACCCAACACGTCATTTTTTTGCCGTCCGCACCTTCGCGCTCGTGCGGACGCGTCGATTATAAACAAGGCTTTACTCCGTGTCAGCGCGCGCTCTGATCGGTAAAGGGGCACAGACCTCTCCCGAATCATCTCCAGCAGTAGCAGCCTCCGATCGCACCACTAACTCCGCCTCCGTTTCCCTCGTAAGATGAAATTAGTATTTAAACATTCTCTATGATAAAAAATGTTTGTAAAAAAATATTTTAATAGCACGGTTTTGGCGGTTATAGAGTTCTAATGACGGTGTTCAACTATAACCGTCGGTCTCACGGTTATATAATAACGTCACACCCCTCATAACACTTGCCTACTATTCGACTATGAGGTTCATAGTCGAATCAGACCTCTCCGAATCGAATCGTCGAATCCTCGACTATTAGAAGTCAGCCCTAATCTCAATTCTCTACTTATTTACCTTCCTCTGGGTTGTTTGATGGTGGTTTTTCAGGGACTGGTTGCTCCGCGATTCCTTTTTTCTGCACATTTAGACCTGTCCTTCCATCTGTCTCCATTACGGAATCAAGTCCAAATGTCTTCGCGCTCAGTACTGCTATCATGTTGGAAGAATCACATTTTTAATTCTCAATCAAATTCTCAATAAAACTTTATTTTCAGCTAACTTCATTACCAGCTAAATGCTTGGACTCCAAGCCTTTCTCCAGTGCTTCCATAAACTTCTCAGATGCATTTTTTTGGAGTAGTTATTGAATTGAATAGCACAGCACCCAAAACAAATCAAAATTCGATTGGAAATAAATGTAACCCTAAACTATATCAGTAACAAACAGCAATCAAAATGAAATCACACTTACATACTGTCACAAACACTTAGAAACACAAAAAACAGACCTGATGCTTGACAGTTGACATCCTCAGGGCAAATATAAAGAAGCAGCATGGAAGCACTATTTAGATGTGCAGTTAAGAGAGAGAGAGAGAGAGTTGCATGTTGTCTCAAAGCCATTTAATTCCACAGCTCTGAGTACAATCCTCTCCTCAGGGATCACTGATCCCTCTCACTGGTTCCAGAGTTTGCGGAAACACAGAGATGTAGACAGATGGGGGAAAGATGGCTGTAGGTATTCGTGTTTGTCCTCGTGTTGGATTTCGTTGGGAGCCAGTTTCTTTTAAATATCTATCTTATGATCCATGAAGGCATATCCCTTTACTAGGCTCTGGTAGATATACTGCAGCCTGTGGGATCTTGGAAGCTGAAACTGGGGTCTAATAACCTGCAGCCTATAGCCCAAATGGTATATTAAGGATGATGAACATTTTACTGTCTGAAAGAGTAGGATGACCTAACTGTCAGTTTTAATAGCTGGGATGGAATCAGAATTCAAAATAACCTGAGACTGGACAGAGAAAATGTAAAGTATTCACAATGTTCAATAAAAGAGTTAAAAAGAATGCACATCTGAATTGTCTTCAACAGGTGCAGCAGGATCAAAATGAAAGATATGAAAGTAAATGAGGAAAATTCGCACACTGTTTAACTTTTCCCTTTATTTGTAATATAAAACAGCAATGTTTTGAATGTGATAATATCAAGTGGTTAACTCAGCATTGTTGTATCAGTGTTGAAACATCTGTACCATCTGAAGCAAATACTTAATTTGTTTAAAGGTAAAATTACTGTACTTAGAGCATGCACATATTTGGCTATAAGACCAGGTGAGTCTTCATTTCTGACTGAAATGGCTGGAGTGCATGGTTTTGCTTTAGTCACTGCAAATCCTTCACATGACATCCAGTAGCGAAAACACAGCTGCTGCTGAGGTAAAATGGAAAACTGACTCAGCCACGAAGAACAATGTATTGTGCATGCCAAAGTAAACTTTAACCCCTTATCCCGGAGTGCATGTCGGACAAAGTGAGAGAGAGGGCGTTAATCTTTAGATATTCTGATAATAATATCTATAATGATGAACCATTCTGGACAATCTTTGGCTTTAAAGATTCTAGATCATCGCAGCACCTGATCGTCAGCATCCACGGTGTGGCCATTAAAACCAAACACTCGCAAGGTACCTCAAAGGGATTCATTCTTCCAAAAACAGAAGTTTAATGCATAATCCTTAAGTGGTGGGAACTAAGCATGTAAGTTCATTTTTAAAGGTGATGTGTGTAATTTTCTTGTTAGAATTGTTACAATTTTAGTAAGGTATTCCTAGTTTTCTGTAAATACTGTGGCTCTGTGGTGCAACACACCAACCCGATCACAAAAGTGATGTCCGGAGGGGATATTTGTTTTTAATGACCCTACAAGTTTGATTAAATCATCAAAATATGAGGAAAATAAATATATGCATAAAGTACAAGGCAAACTACAGCTACAGGTTTTATTTTACAATGCAAAAAGTGCATAGAAAAACAAAAAGCTCACAGGAAAAAGCATACATTGAGTACAACATAATCAGTTACTAATATGTTATTATTGGTTATCTCTTGTTTTTGCATGTGTTCATAATTTCTATGTATGACAACCTGCATGGCCAAAAAATGTGTCCGCACAATTTTGCATGTTTCATTGCTTTCACAAATAAAACAATTAACTCCAAGCACAACTAGACAATAATGCTTACAAATAAATGTTTAATATTTGAATAAAGGGTGATGTAATTTTTTCTAGGCCAGACATCACATTTATTCACTACTGTGTGTGTGTTTGTGTGTATAACATGAAACATTTTTTCATGACCCAGCTGTCAATAACCACTGATTTAAGTCTTCTCTATTCACTATTTTTATTTATTTATTTATTTTAATGTAAAGTCAAGTTATTTTGCAAGTCTGTTTGGTGTTGCAGTGGCACAGAAATTACACTCTTCACCTTTAGAACTTCATGCAAAGTTTCCACATTTTTAACATTATTATTGTCCCAGGGTCCCCCACTGGCTTCACAACAAATGCATCTGTCAGACCAAGTGGCTCTCTCTTTATCCCATAGATGATGCATAGAAACATGGGAATCCTGGCATTCCTGGGCAGATGATGGGATGGAAAACAGCCTGCATGGTAGGCTCATGGTGATGAGAGCTATTAGCGTACAAGCGCCTTGCTAAAGCCTCTGTGAAGCTTTAGCGAAAAGCTCTGTGAGGATTTAACATGGAGTGTCCTTTCAGTTAACAGCTAAATGAGTCAACTATTGCCATGAAAATTACAGCAATAAAATATAATAAAAGACCATAATAAAAGTCCATTTTATTTAATACCTTTTTACAATAGCAAGTAAACAACGAAATTACTTATATACAAGACAATACAATATTAACAAATGAATCAGTTGTGGCGTATAAAAATGTATGTTGTTTATTATTATTATTTTTTGTAAACCATGGCAAATTTAACAAAACAATTTGATTACGGCATAGCCCTTTTAAATTACTTTTTAAAAATTGCAATAATAATAATAAATATTATTATTATTATTTACATTTTCTTCATAAAAGTCATTGTAAAGCAGGTTAGGTTAACCTCCAGGCTGTCTAAAGTGGACAGGAACAGACGAACGGTTTGAGGATTTTGCATGGTACATCATTGAACACCAGATCACCTGAAAAGAAAAAACAAAGCTTTGTTGAACTAATAAAACAGATCATAAAAATAAATAAAGCATCTCTATAAGAGATGTATAAATTAAATTAAACCCTTGGATTATCTTTGTGACAAGAGCAACACATCTTTTTATTTTTGTTAATTGTAGTTTGGCGGCAACACTTACTCAGTATCTCTACACAATTCTCCTCCACAAGTCCACCTCCCTGTGGACATATCACCACATTACAATCATCATTCAATAAAGCCTCTAAGTTTACATTACACTTTACACCGGCTTGGTGAAGGCAACTGTCAACAGTGACTGTGAACACTGCAGTATTGAAAGCATTTGGGCAAATATGCTATTATCAGACATGTTTTGTACCAGTCAAAATCATCTGAGGTGGCTTACCAGTCTGTAATGTCAGTCTTCGTTCCCTTCATGGTTCCATTACTTCTTCCGGATCATCATCCACGATATAGTCACCCTCGAGTGTAGGCTCCTCTAATAAATTTTCCTCTTTTTCAGATTCCACCTTCATATCCATCTCAGCTACAGACTCTAACTCTTCTACAGGTTCCTCTGGTTCCTCTACAGGTTCCTCTACAGGTTCCTCCACAGGTTCCTCCACAGGTACGTTGTTTCTGTTCATCTGAATGGCAACTATTTCCGGCATAGACTCTAGTTCTGTCTCTGGTGTCTCTTCATTTATATAATCTGCCACTAGCACAGGTTCCTCCACTATCACTGAATTATCTTCTGTTTCTCTGTGTTCCTCTATTGTCTCTGGCTCCAGCACCTCTGCAACAGGTTCATCCTGCATCAGAGGACCTTGTTCTGCTTCAGTAAGATCATCTTCCTCTATCACAGGTTCCTCCATTCTCACTGACATCTCTTCCCTGTATTCCTCCATTGTCTCTGGGTCCAGCACGACATCTGCAATAGGTTCATCCTGCATCAGAGGACCTTGTTCTGCTTCAGTCAGATCATCTTCCTCTATTACAGGTTCCTCCATTCTCACTGACATCTCTTCTCTGTATTCCTCCATTGTCTCTGGGTCCAGCACGACATCTGCAATAGGTTCATCCTGCATCAGAGGACCTTGTTCTGCTTCAGTCAGATCATCTTCCTCTGTCAGAGGTTCCTCCATTCTCACTGACATCTCTTGTTCTTCTATTGTCTCTGGGTCCAGCACATCTGCGATAGGTTCATCCTGCATCAGAGGACCTTGTTCTGCTTCAGTCAGATCATCTTCCTCTATTACAGGTTCCTCCATTCTCACTGACATCTCTTCTCTGTATTCCTCCATTGTCTCTGGGTCCAGCACATCTGCGACAGGTTCATCCTGCATTAGAGGACCTTGTTCTGCTTCAGTCAGATCATCTTCCTCTATCACAGGTTCCTCCACTCTCACTGACGTCTCTTCTCTGTGTTCCCCCATGGTCTCTGGGTCCAGCACGACATCTGCAACAGGTTCATCCTGCATTAGAGGACCTTGTTCTGCTTCAGTCAGATCATCTTCCTCTATCACAGGTTCCTCCACTCTCACTGACGTCTCTTCTCTGTGTTCCCCCATGGTCTCTGGGTCCAGCACGACATCTGCAACAGGTTCATCCTGCATTAGAGGACCTTGTTCTGCTTCAGTCAGATCATCTTCCTCTATCACAGGTTCCTCCACTCTCACTGACGTCTCTTCTATGTGTTCCTCTATTGTCTCTGGCTTCAGCACATCTGCAACAGGTTCATCCTGCTTCAAAGGACCTTGTTCTGCTTCTGTGTGCTGTACTATTGGTTCTTTTTTAACCACTGGCAAAACATCCTCCTTGACCACATGATCAAAAGGCAAATCTTTAAACGGCAGCGTTTTATCCTGAACTGGTGGACTGGCTGAAGCTACAGAGTTGTAATAAGAAAGTAATAATGTTAATCAATCTAGCAATCAAATATAGTTATTCACCTCTTTTAGGATTTATTTAACATTTAGCTTGTTAGATATTCTAAGCTGTCAGCAATTATGACTACTTCAACAACAACAACAAAAATCTAAACACAGTGTTTACTGAAATAGGACAAACTGTTAATTATTAAACTAACACAGTTAATATTAACTGTATATTTGAATGATGGTATAACTGGAGCACAAATCATACCTGTTAAGGTGAGAACCAGCAAAAGTAATTTTCTCATCTTGCCAAAAATCTCCAAAGAGTTGCTTTCTGAAAGAGAAAATTTAATAATATTAAAACCAATGTAAACCAACCAGTTATTTTAGTTTTCACTAAATAAAGTAAGACTAGAATTCATAAAATTATTATTCATTTAACAGGATTCGACTACACTGAGAGAAACGTTATTAAATGAACGATTTAATTAAAGGTACACTATGTAACTTTTGTCCCTCTAGCAGTGAAAAAAACAAAACTGAACATTGTTTTGGTTGTGCTTCGGCTCTGCGTGACTGTGCGGATGAATAAGGTTATTTTTTATAACTAGAGAGAGAGAGAGATTATCCTACTACTCATAAATCATTCACTAAAAGGCTATAACCAGTTCAGAAAGGATATCAAGCTGAAGATTGGCTACCCATTAATAGACTGGTATAGCATTGAAAACAACATCCAACACAGCTCTACAACAACCTATAATGAAATGACCCTTCACAAAAGATAATGCTTTACAATGAAGTCTGTTAGAGAGCTACATATAGCAATTTATCTGTTTAATAAAATACCTCACTTGCCTGTTGAGTAAAAAAACATCATCTCCGCGTCGCTTTTACAACATTTCAAATTCCTTATCGCTATCTCTAAAAAGCCAAGCCAATGCACACATTTAAATTCATGAGAATAAACAGACGGAAAGCGAGCCGGTACTGAGCTTGTCTGAGTTTATTATAAAATGTAAGACAAAAATAATGTTTTCGGACATGAAGTATAGATGTTATCTTTTTTTTTGGCTGTAAATTAATCACTAACACTAAACTGCCAACAATCTAAGCCACCGGGAGGCCGCAAACGGCTGTCATTCACTGTATTGCATGAATAAAAAGCCAGTTAATCTAAAGATTTGTAATAAAAAGTATTTTTCCAAAATTAAGTTTTAATAGTATTTTCGTTCAGGGACCGTGGGGGCGGGAAAATGTGTGACGTAGCATGCGCTCTTAGACCGTCTCATTCTAGCGTTTAATTGCTGAAGAGGACACTATAGCCTACAAGCCTCAGAAGGACTGAACTATAGGACGCAGTCTCGGTAGGATGCAGCCTTCCGTTTGAGAAACACCCAATGTAGCCGGAGCAACTTTTCTCCATTTACGGACATAAGATACGCAATTTCCCTTGAAAACCATCTCTCTTAAGGTCTAAAATATAATAATAGGCTCATAATAAATCAAGGTAAGACAAAAACATGTTTTGGAAGAAGGACTGATGATGTATTGACTGATTATTTAAATTTTGTTAATTTTGAATAAAAATGTTACACAGTGTACTTTTAAGTTAACATCACTGAATCAACCAAAATACACCAAGTTACGCCAAACACATTTAAGGGGTTAGATCAGGACAACATTGCAGATTAACACCCTTTGTTTGAAACAAAATCAAACAATTATTTTCAAACTAAATCACTGCAAAAGTATGAAAGAAAGAAAGAAAGAAAGAAAGAAAGAAAGAAAGAAAGAAAGAAAGAAAGAAAGAAAGAAAGAAAGAAAGAAAGAAAGAAAGAAAGAAAGAAAGAAAGAAAGAAAGAAAGAAAGAAAGAAAAAGTTTTTCTTCAGAAAGATGTACAGGTGGTTATTCTTACCTGTGTTGATTCTGCTGGTCTGTATTGACTCTTCACTTGTGTTTTTCTCAGTGCTGTGGGATCAAATCAGTGCGTCTTATAAAATACATTATTTACAACCCTTTTTTAACCTTTGTCTTGTCACGTTTCTGCGAGTACAATAGCTTTTGCCATCACATGCTTCAACACGTTTTATGTTTATCTAAATAACATCTCATTATATTTCATTATTGTTTGCTTTTCTTGCTTTTAAGGTCAGAGTACCAGATCACTTCCTTATGAGATATACAAAGTTTATAGATTAGATGCTCTTTCTTTCTTTCTTTCTTTCTTTCTTTATTTCTTTCTTTCTTTCTTTCTTTCTTTCTTTCTTTCTTTCTTTCTTTCTTTCTTTCTTTCTTTCTTTCTTTCTTTCTTTCTTTCTTTCTTTCTTTCTTTCTTTCTTTCTTTCTTTCTTTCTTTCTTTCTTTCTTTCTTTCTTTCTTATTTGACCTAGTTTGAAAACAAATCTTTCCCCCCCACACATAATAACAGTGGAGTGGTGCATTTCGGTTGGGCACATGTGTGTGTAACATACACGTGTGGATTTGACATCAGCACAACAACTGCTACTGTGGACAGGTGTTGATGCCATGTCTTACTGAGGAAAGGAATACTGTGGATAAAGCAGCTGTCAAACGTTTCATACCCACAAGAGTGTGGGGTCTCAAAATCAACATCCATGAACAATGCATCCCTGTTCCTGAAACCTAAACCCATAGCAGTGCAAAACAACATATTATCTCTCTCATGTTATCTTAATTGCACATTCTTCAGAATTATGACAGACAAATCAATTGTATTAAGCCAAACATTTCCCTGAAAGGGCAGCTCATAAAATATGAAGCCAAACTGCAGGACTTCAGTACTTGTTTACCATGAAATTACCATTGCATTCACAGTTTCTACTGATAAATCTGTCTCAGGTTTGTGTTCAATAGGAGAAAGAAACTCATACAGGTTTGGAACAACATGAGGGTGAGTAAATAATGACAAAATTCCCCTTTTTGGGTGAACTACTATATCCCTTCAAGGACTTGATCTGGAACTTAGAGTTTGCTTTAATTGTTGTAACCCAATCGTTAAGTTGATTCAGTCATTGTATTTTGACTAAACCAAAACCAAACCAAAGGTTCCAAATTTGATGCCATTTTATAGACTAAATTTGATTGTGCAAAGCACAAAACTTCATTACAGTAATATATTATTGTCATAACTATAAAGTAAGTAAACTATAAATAAAGTAACTATAAAGTATAAAAACTATAAATAAAGTAACTATAAAGTAAGTAAGTAAACTTATAGAAAAACGTGGGAAATATATAGCCTATTGTTTTAATAGGCCTAGTTTTACAGAAGTAACAATATCTATATTTTGAAACTGGTTTCCACGCTTGCCTATAAAAAAACATGATAAGAAAGATCATAAGGAATAAGATTTTTCATGTTGTATATGTCGCTCATATGCAAAGCAACGACACATGTCTCAGAGCATATGCGGCGTGCTCGCGCAGCGTTCTGACGAGAGCGCGCAAAACATCTTAAACAACTTCCGAAGAGCGAGAAACACATCAGACTCTCCACGCGCCGGACAATCTGAAGATGAGAACAACACACATACTAACCTTTCCCGCTCTTCTCATGCTGCTCTACAGTAAGTATATTGATGATGCTTGTATTTCTCAATATCCGATGCTCTTTATGTGGTGTGTCGTGTTCTGGACGTTTTAAAAGAAAGAATTTTTGATTCTGACTGAAATGGTGGGAATTCTGAGGGGTGAGTTGTAAAACACAGATCCTTTGATTAATAATTTGAATCTACATTTAGCTCTGTTAATAATGATATAGACTAGATATAGAATTGGCTGCTACACCGAATATAAAAACATTTATGCTTAAAAGTTATTACAAATATTACAAATAATATAAAGAATATGTTATGTATTTATCATTATTTTATTCTTTAATTTAATTACATGTTTTATTTTATTTGTGTCTTGCCATGAATGATTGTGTGTGTGTGTGTGTGTGTGGTTTAGGTAAACACGTTATTTAGACTAAATGTAAATTTTTTGGTCCCCATGAGGAAAACAGCTTAAAATCATACAAAGTGATGTATGACCCAGAAGTCCCCAGAAGGATAGCAAAACCTGAAATCAGCCAGTGGAAATCATATTTTTTGAAAATGTAAAAATGCAGCTAGTTTTCTATGATGTGTAGGTTTAGGGGATAGAAGATACAATTTGTACAGTATAAAAATCATTACGCTTATGGAGATAGCGAAACAGAGTTTTGTGTGTGTGTGTGTGTATGTGTGTGTGTGTGCTTTTTCAAAGAGAGATGGATGCTTTGAGGGTCTGGATAGAATGGGTGGGGGTCTTGTAAGACACTGTGTTTACACAAACTTCTTAAACAGCATTTGAACACATGAGATCCTGAAGGTGATAAAATGTCTGTGAAGAAGCTGTCCAGATCTGAACTTCAGTCTGATGTGGCAGGGACCCTTTCATGTGGCTGATGCCCCTTGCCTGACTCCTTGTGTATTGGTCATTATCATGAAGATTATGGTTACCCGGCATACCATGAGAAATGCTTGCTCCCACCCAGTCTAGAGAGATCTAAATGTTTTACAAATTATGTAGCAATTTACTTTTTCCATAGATGTTAAAAGAGTGATAAATGTAGCTATAACATGTTAGGTTAACTTTCATAACATTAATTGGCTTTATTCTGATATTCTAAACCTAACCCTTTATTCAGATCTCATGCCACTGAGTGCTAGTTAGGGTTGTTAAACCTTGTGGGGTGGTCTGTGATTTTAACTCTAGTCCTCTTCCAGTTGAAGGGGTTTTAAGTTACAGGAGCACAGTACGTCTTTGTATCTCTGGGTAAAAAGACCCTCCACACCTTTTCTCTGTCGTCACGTATGAAACTCAGTTCTTTTCTACAGGGCTATAGAAAGGGAGCTACACAGATAAAAGGAAAGTATTTCCCCTCACTTTCCCCAGAAGTGCATGTTTTTCAGTGTGTGTGGAGGTTATCAGGCCTGGTTTGTACTGCCACCCCCCACAGCCAGACTGTGTCAGAAGAACATCCATCCATTACGTAAATTCCTACACTCCCTGTTCCTGGCACCACCAGAGCAGGAGTGAGTGTTAGTGAGGTTTCACAACTTCAGTGTGTTTTAACTTCTCTTCACTCTATTCCTTATTTACTTAAATATTATATACGTATATAGTATTGCTCAGAGGCATAATATAGAAAACTTGTAACACTTTCCTAAAAGGTTCCATTAATTAACAGTTATGCATTAACTAACTTTAACAATGAGCAATACATTTGTTACAGTATATATTAATCTTTGTTCACGTTAATTAATTTCATTGTTCATGTTAGCTCAGGTCCATTAAGTATTATTAAAAGATACAACCTTTGTTTTTAATAATGTATTAGTAAATGCTGTTTACAATTACTTAATATTAATAAATGGTTTAGAAGTACTTTTCAATAGTTTATGTTAACTATTGTTAACTAAAGTTTAGAACCTCGTTGTAAAGTATAATCTAACATACACTCTTGATTAAAGAAATCTGTACATTGTATTTTACTGTAAAATTACATGAAATTAGATCTATTTCAGTTTTTCACCGTATAGTCAGTAATGTACAGTTTAAACAATGAACAGCTTTTTACTGTAGCATTTTAGTCTTTTACTGTTAAAATTAGGATTTTTTACTGTGTAAGTTAAGCTATATCAACAGTGCATCACTCTTAAAAATAAAGGTTGTAAAGGTTTTTTCTTTTTTCCACATCAATACCATAGAAGAACCATTTTTGGTTCCCCAGAGAAACTTTCAGTGATCAGTTCTAAAAAGAACCATTTGTATCTTAGTGTGAACCTTTCCCCACTATAAAGAACAGAAATGAAAGGTTTAAAGGATTTTAAAGGTTGTTCATGAAAACCATTAGTGCCAATAATGAACCTTTTTTTTAAGGGGCAGAATTTCAATTCATCCTCAGTAAAAAACAACAACTTTATGGGCCAAACATATAATGATTCTCATAGTCTTTCATTATAGGTGGATTTTTTTTTTCCTACAAACTAAGTTTGCTATTATAAAAAATGCTGTGGGAGTGTGTTACAACATTCATGTGTTTGTTTGTATCTTTTCTATCCAGTTCCTTGCTCAGATCCTGTTACTGTGACGACAAGCAAAGCAAAAGTGGAAGTACATGAAAACACAAGTAAGTTCTTTAGTCTTCAGATAATCAGCTGGACGTGTTTAAAAGCTTTCAGACCATATTGATGTGACACTTTTATCTGTTCTTTCAAAAGATGCTGTCCTTTCCTGTGAGTTCAGGACAGAGAAAGAAACAAACCCACGTGTTGAATGGAAGAAGAGAGGCAAAGAGGTTTCATATGTTTATTTTGATGGCGATTTTACAGGTTTGTTGTTGTTTAGCCCATTCCAATTTTTAAACAGTCCCTTATCTCTCTTATTTGTATATAGCTTTAGTTTAGATATTTTATGAAATCTTTTAAAAGAAGAAGTGTGTCATTCACACTTGTGTTCACATGTGAAATTTTCACACACATGAAATTTTACGAGCAAAAAAGGTCCATTGTCAGTAGTGTAATGATGATTTATGAAGCTCACACAGAAGTCACTTTAAAACCAAGCAGCTTTTTTTCGGTCGATGCTGAACCCATTGCAAAATCTGTGTCGGGAAATCTTTCACCCCCTTATTTGAAACTTCTGATCGCACAGATTCCTATTGAAATTACTAGATTTCGTCCACGAAACTCTGCCAAGCAATTGTAAATGTGACTGCACCCTAACTATGTGTTTCAGTGAACAGTGTACTTTCATTCACATACAGTATGTTTTTTCTTCAGAATGTTCTGACTTACTCTCACCATTACCAGGTGCATTTAAGAGCCGTGCGTCCATCGACGGGGCAACAATGACCCTCCGTGGTGTCACACAGAAAGACTCGGGAGTGTATCATTGCGAAGTCACAGCCCGCCAAGACAAAATCAAGCTGGGGGAGGTCACCGTCACCCTCATTGTGCTTGGTGGGAATAAAAATCTTGTACACTTATTTTCATTATTTACATGTGCAGCAAATGATACACTCTTGAAAATAAAGGTTCCCCAAAAAAAAGCATTTTCACAGCGATGCCATAGAAGAACCGTTTTTGGTTCCCCAAAGAACCTTTCAATAAACAGTTCTTAAAAGAACCATTTTTTCTAAGTCTGAATAACCTTTATTTTTAAGAGTGTATTCATAACTCCTTGTCTTAAACATAAACTTTCTGTCAGTGAGCAGTATGATCTGTCTTACATGGACAGTGCCGCCAAATGCGCCGTCATGTGAGGTTCCAGAAACAGTCATGAAAGGATTTTCTGCGGAGCTCCACTGTAAAGACAAACTCAGCGTTCCTGCTGCCACCTACAGCTGGTACAAAGACAACAAACTACTTAACACTGGCAAGCTCGCTGAAATCAACTACACCCTGGACCCCAAAACAGGGACTCTGGTTGGTGTAGTGCTATAATCTCTTTCCATCACATGGGCAAACATTTTGATAAAAACATTGAACTTCCTGTAGCCTTTTCCCTTGACTGCTAACAAACGCTGCTTATTGTTTGGCTTTGATGCATTTATGGCATGTGTGATTTATATACACTGTTTCTTTTCCTTTGTTTTTGAACAGAAATTCAAGACGGTATCAAAATCTGATGAGGGTCAGTATCGATGTGAGGCATCCAATGGAGTGGGGGCACCCAAAAGCTGTGCAGGCCGGCATATGAAGATAACTGAATGTAAGTTAATGACAAATTGGTAATTTAAAGAAATCAATTATACTTAAATGAAAATGTACAAAGAGGGCATTTAGATCAAAGTCTTAAAGGTACAGTGAAAAAAAAAAAAAAAAAAAAAAAAAAAAAAAAAAACCCTCATGTTCTATTGATGTTGACTATATTATTTTCGTTTGGGGGTCTAGTGACCCTAATGAAAAAACCCTATATCAAAATGTATTTAAAATACATTTATTTCATACTAAGTATAGTACAAATCCATTAACATATTTACTGACATATTGCCTGGAGACTTTCTGATATAAATATTACAAGTATACTTTATTTGGAGTACTTCTTAATTGCACAATGCACATTTCTACACATTAGTTACACATTCTACACATTAGTAAGGAAAGTATGGTCACTGTATAATATCAGTCTTTAAATGCAGGATACTTTAAATGTACCTAAAGTATATTTGCAATAGTTCCACTTTAGCACAATCAAATATACTTAAGTATATCTTTAGTTGGAGCTCAGCACTATTTCCAGATAACTAAAGAGCATTAAGTACAAAATTAGTTGTTCCAATTTAGCAGACTTTAAGTATAGCAATTTAGTATGCCAACAGTACAATTGCAGGGTATTTAAATTAAGTACATAAATATGTAGATATATTTGTAGTATACTAATACATTTTGGTATATTAAATTTTCACTAGGGAACCCCCAAAAATATTAATAGTAATTTCAAAATTAACCTCCCGTTTTCCCTTAAAGGTCCTCTGTGCTAATTCAAACCCTGCAAAACCCTAAATTCCCTTATGTATTACCACAAACTAAGTAGAAATGTGACTGGCATCTACACAACAGTTCAAACGTTTGAGGTCAGTAAGACATTTTTTTGGAAATAAATTAAGACTTGAGGATGCAATAAATTGATCAACAGTGACAGTATAATGTTGCAAAAGATTGCTGTTTCAAATAAATTATGTTCTTTTGAACTTTCTATTTATCAAAGAATCCTGAAAACAATGTATCACAAAACTGTTTTGAACATTGGCGGTCCGTGTAACGCTTTGCAGTTCTTTGTTCAATTTGCACCATCAAAATTAACCAAATGAAAAATTGGCTTCGAACTTTCATTTTCCATTTTTTTTAAATAATTCACAAACGGAAAATTGTCTCTCAGTTTAATTTTCAATTCTACAAGCTTGGGTTGTTGCGTCCGAGTCTGGTTTTTGAACAAACATAAAAAAACGACTCATTGCTCTGATTTTCCATTTCTCTGTGTTTTGCTCGCGGTTGGACCGTACCAGTTCCGCGGGGGGTGGAGCGGGGGGTGCACGTGGATGCATTTACGCAGAGCGCTGTAGCGTTATGTATATGGCACGTGTGAGTCTGACCATGAAATCATTTAGTGCAATGTAATTTAGAGTGGATGTTGTAAGGGGTATACAGTCAAAGACCCAGAACCAGATATGAAGAATGAAGACCCGGAGTCAGAATTATAAAAAATTAAAGAAAAGTTTTACTGAAGATAGTTTGCATTTTCATCAGCAGAAGTCAGCTTCAAGACTCACACAGGAGTTCGTAGGCCGCCTCGCTTACAGTTACAAAGATCACAGCAGTTATACCATTTCCAAGGTCTAAGCTACGTCATTGCTTACAGGTTGAATGATTCTCATTGGCTAAGAAACATGAAAGCCTAAACAATTTAACACATGTGAGGAGATAGGGGTGCCTATCGCCATTAGTAAAGATAGTTGTCGTCCACTCATTGGATTTAGGTCTGTGGTGGCCTCGCAGGTTAGAGAAGGGCGCCGGGGTGTCTGGTCCGAACGTCCAGAACCTACATAGAATGTCATACGCACACACACACAAATAACAGACACGAGCAAATAACAGCTCCCATCAAGGCTGAAGAGAGTCTGAGCTCCTTATTATCAGTTAAGTATACCAAAACATAATGCCAAAACATTCACTCATTTAGGAGAAAAACAGATCACTGGCATTTACTCCCAAGGAAGGAAATATACTGGAAAGAATACATTTTAATACAACAATTCAAGTTTGATAGTAACGCTCAATATAGCTTGACCATATGTCCAGCGAAGAATCATATGTGCCCACGCTGCCTTTAGGACCCTCTAACCTTTCTACTGATCCCAGAGAAAGAGACAAACGGCCTTGTGGGTTCCGTGGCCTTCGTGTCCTGCGTGTACTAAGTGCAATCTCAAAGTAAGATTGGAATGCACCTAAAAGAAACTGGTTACTTGCATCCATGCATTTAAGAAAATATAATTTCACAAGCACAAGAATATAAAAATTATTATGTGATAATGAATATATTTGATTATTGATTTTTATAAAGGAAGTATATAACCATTCAAAATGATATATGATTATATATGTATTTGAAGAGGCAAGGGATTTTGACCAACCCTTCAGTCCCCCGTTTTAGACCAATGTGGGGTCCAATACCGCCACGTCTGGTCTAACCAGTGAGGTCACTACGGAAGGGAGGAGTGGTGACGCATGCTCCCCTGACGGGTCACACTTGTCTCTTCACCTCGTCACGGACATGCTGGATATTAAAAATTCCAGTCCCCATTAAGAGGCTCTCCCACCTTCCACTCACAACAGGACATCAATGTCATTCTTCCTCAGTTTATCAGTCAGGTTAAAATTTTTATAAAACACATAACTGATTACGAAACAAGTACATATTTTTTCTCTGGAAGCCAGGCTAAATAAGCAAGCACTATTGCTGTATTCCTAGCATGGGCTAGATCCACAGTCACTACTCAGATCCTAAATAAAGACATTGTCTATAATCATGAGTACCAGAATATATGCACTAGTTTTTTTTATTTATAAAATTATGATTTCCAAATCCTTTTATTATAAACAAAGTTGGATGGTTAATCCATTATTTTCACTACCCCTTTTATAGACCCTTTAGGTTTAAAACACAATGGTTGTCTAACTAAAAATAAACAACAAACAATAAAATATTAATAATTAAGACCCATAATAATCGATGTAAGCCCTTTAAGTCTTTACTGAAATCATCCTTCAGTTTACGGTCACATAGCATGTACCATTTTAATTGTATAACATCTTATACCCTTTTTTGTTTGTTTCAAAAATAGAAATAAAATAAAACAAATTCACATCATCATTTCAGTCATTATTTTACCACTAAAATATAGGATCGTTCCCCATTCTGCTTAATAAAGCTTTTGTTCATTCCTTATCCTTATATAACTTGAATCCCTGTCAATCATACAATGTCTAACCCTAACCTTTTTCATACCATTTAAACTTAATTTGACTTCCATAAATCCTATCAGAAATTGTATTTTCATAACATACATTTTCTTCTACTATATTTCTTCCATCTTGCCCTACATGCCAGTTCCTTCTGCATCCGAGTCTCTCACCACTGTCAGCCTAGTGACACTTAAAGTTCCCTCGTTAGGGGAATCATGGTATTTTATTAATTCTTCAATACTCTTGTTTTCTTATCATTAACTTCAACTTTATTGTTCATTTTAACTACTTCTCACAGTATTTGTCTCAGTTCCACTTATCTTTACAGTTTTACAGAAACCAAAATATTATGTTACTCAGATCCCAGCCCACAGCCATATAGCTGCTTTCTCTTTTTACCTTTATTAAATTGTAGTTTTCTTAGACATCTAATGTCATACATACATTTAATCGATTGAGAAATAAAACCTTTTCTTTTTAGAAGTTATATTCACTCCTTCTTTGTTCGCCCTCCGGCCTTTCAATAAAAATGAGGGAACTCACTCTGGATAATTTGGATAGTGACTTAGCCAATGTGTCACTTTGTCTCTCTGCCGTCAAGTCTATATGTATATATCTTTTTTTTTTTTTTTTCCTACGTTTATCCTTATGATCCCACCTAGTTGTCTATTTAAATTTAGACCCTCAGTTGAATTTAGACAAGAGTTTTACCCCAGAATGGACGGCAATCTTCTTTACAATTCCAATTTATATAAAATACTAATCCAGAGAGTAATTCAGTTCAATATCATAAATGACAAAAGCATTCATAATTACCAATAGCAGACAGAGCTGGAGAACCACTCCAATTAAAGCTCGTCCCATGTTCTGCATTGTCTTTTCATCAGATTGTCTTAGAATTATCAACTTTTCTAAAGTTGGTCATTTCACTTAACCCATCTGTAATGATAAAACACTAATTCCAGAGGTTAATGACACAATATCCTCAAAATCAGGAAATAATAGTACCCCAAACTAATACATACAAGACAAAAAGTGCTGTCACCATCACACGCACTCATACTAGACACGCATATGTTAACTGTTCATTTTCAATATTAATTTTTCTTTATGTTATTGCTAAAAAGATTTAAATTTTAAATAAGATTTTAAACTTCCCATTTTCCGGTAGCTTCTACCTAATTTTACATGGTCTCCCAACCAGTTTCAAAGCATGTCTTGTTCATTATTCATTAGAATTTAACAAGGTCAGCTGGGTTGTTTTGTTTCATTATCATTATTTTGCTTCAGCTTGCTCTAGCAGGCCAATAATGGAAAGACAGACACAGTTACCATCCCTTCCTCTGCTCAAGCAGTCTCTCTCACTATAAATAAATAATCTTTTTCAACAGCCTTCTAAGGCTGTAACTTAGACATAATGTAATATTAAATTAATTACAATAACCTTTGACCATTCACCTTGTTATCCAGACTTTTCTCAAATCTATAAAAGCTGTCTTCATCTTTAGCCACCACCATGTCTAACGACCTTCAGGAGTTAAAACTATGTCATAGACCTATTAGTTCAAAATCAACACTATGATTTTCCTTGCCCATAAGGCAAACCAGTACATAAAAAGTTTTGCTACTGTCTCCACAACAACTAATGGGAATCACTCAATGGCCTCAGCTGGCTCCTGCTCGCCCACTCCTGTTAGCCCTTTATCTATAATCTCCATCAGGGTGTTTTCCCCTGGCATATTTGCA